TTAACCTTGCACTCATGAATGAATACAAATTTTTACGTATATTCGGGTACTGATGTAAGTCCACACTGAGTGCTGATGACTAATAATACGTCGGAGCAAAGCCTCAGTCTTCACCCCCCCCCCAAAAAAAAAACTAATTGGTCCCCTGCAATAATATCTGGTTTTCGTTACTCGGGTCCCCTTGCATGCTAGCCCACGTATATTCAAACTGATGGGACGTTAGCTTCAACGTAATCGGACACGCCGCCGATAAAGTAAATGTAAATAAACATAGTCTGCGGTAAAGAATTTGTTTTCATCCTTATGACAACCCTAATATTTTCATTTTAAATTATATACTTTAAGGATATCCAAGTGGTACAGTCCCTCCAACACAATTATCTTTCGAAAAATTACATTTTTAGGCTTTTTTAATGTAAAAAAATGTCAAATTATTCTCAACTGGGATTGATCAAGATCAGTCGAATGTAACACAACTGAAAATAATCGATTGAATCAACATCAATTGTCAGTTGTTGACATTGGTTAACATTACCAAAAATTCTGTCTGTAAACGTTTTTTCAAGTCACACTATTTATCCGATTTCAATTTAATTGGGCTCAATTTATTCGTTAGGACATTTTTTATCAAGTTGCCGAACGATTTTTTTGGATAAATACACTAATGAAAAATTATGATCATTTGTTTAAAAGTTGATTGATTCAGTCATGTGAAAATGCTACTGTAAAAATAAAACTACCAAATAAAATGGGAAAGCCGTTCGGTAACTCAATAGAGAATATTCCAACGAACAAAATGAGCTCAATTACATTGAAATTGGATGAAAACCGTCGCTTAAAAAAACATTTATAAGCAGAATTTTTAGTGGTACTTTTTCATGTCGATAAATAAGGGTTAATATTCATTAATTCGATGAATTTTGATCATGTTCCATTCAACTGAACTTGATAAATCCCAGTCAAGTGGAATTTGTCGCTTTTTGTAGTAAAGAAGGCTCAAAAACGGAATTTTTGGAAAACTCATTGAATTGCAGGGACTGTAGCACTTGGATATCCTTAATACTCGAAATTTATTAATATCATTTGACAATTTCATGACGAAACAATAGAATCCATTAATTTTTATTATTATGAATTATTTTTTTCAATATAACAAATGAAACTCTGATAGCTGTGGGTTGATTATTTCTATTAAAGCAATTCAAAACCATTAATTTAATGAGGAAACCAAAAAATTGTTGTAAATAAAAATTGACCACTACCCAAATATAAAACTATATCAACTATGAATATATAACGTGAAAAAAAAATCGACCTGTCGATGCAGGAAAATATCGACGTTAAAAGTCATCGTCGGTATGATAGACTTCTTCGAAATTATGGAAATGACATGTTCATTTGCCATGATTCAACACGCGATCTTTACCAAAATGAATTTGCATATAGTGATGGGGAGTTGTTAATCGGACTGGATATCCAGTGAAAATGTATTGATGGAGGAACTCGCTGTAACACAATACGCCAACGGTCACTTATCTAACCACCGTCGATAAAAATAAACACGCTGAGAATTACTAGGAAAGCAGGCTGCTATCGAAATTATTTATATTATATATTATGGTCCATGAAATGAACGAACTAAAACGCCTGATTATCCGGCCGGTGGGGGTTTGGGTGTTTCACACGTTTTGTGTTCATAGACACATTATAATTTTAACAATGAAATTGATGGTGGATTTTTCATCAGACCGTCGCGCACCACATGCTAATTGTGATGTGCATCTAATATTTTTATTAACTGTGTATATCATAAATACAAAGTAACTGAAATATACAAACAGGGTGTCAATCATCATATGTTAAAATTATATGATGATTATCCATTAAAAATCGTTCATTTTTCGCAATGCGATCGCGAAAAAAAAAATCCTCTGCGCTGAGGTGTTAACATACACCGGTGTACAATGGCTCTGCATCAAGAGCCCATTCTATCGTCTGATTTTTATAAACATGTGTATTATGTCATGATTAATAAATTTTAATTCATTAACCTTAAAATTTGAAAATAAAAAATAAAACTTTAACTTTATTTAAGAGACGATTTGGCAAATTTTATGCAATTTTTGACCAACTGGAAATTGAAGAAAAAGTTCCATTTCCATCCGACGCATCATTTTTCTAACTGGAATGACCTGGGCTCCTGCTGGTGCTGACCACAGCGAGTGAGGAACTGCCTGGCGTTTCTCAGCCTCTCCAACGATCAGAATGAGCTATAGCGCATTTTATCCCCTGTGAAATCACGATTCGTTGTCAGCAAATAGTTTGCAAAAGTTCCATTTCCATCCGACGCATCATTTTTTGAAGAAGAATGACCTGGGCTTCTGCTGGTGCTGACCACAGCGAGTGAGGAACTGCCTGGCGTTTCTCTGCCTCTCCAACGATCAGAATGAGATACCGTGTGTTTTATACAGTGTGAAAGTGTGACTTGTTATCAGCAAGGTCATTTAAACACGGTCATTGAAGAATTTTTGATAACAGAAAAGAAAGAAGAAAAAATGCTCTGAGGTGTTAACATACACCTGTGTACAATGGCTCTGCTTCGAGAGCTCATTCTATCGTTACAACGGATTTTTTATTTTTATTAACATGTGTATAATGTAATAGTTGATAATTCTTAATTTATTAACCTTAATATTCCAAAATTAAAAATAAAACTATATATTTTCAAATATATATCGAAGAGATAGAATAATTCTTTTTTTCATTGTTATTATTGGCATTATGTTTTTTATGTCAGGTAAACGTATTAATAAAAAAAAAAAAAACAAATGTTGCTAATTTCTCTGTACACACTTATGTATCTTTTGACATACAATTAAATGATGCGTGATTAAAATTTCTTGACTGATCTTTTTATTTGATGACTTTTTTCAACTTTTTCGATTGTTCAGCAAGATTCCTGGATGTTTCCAGGCTGGACCCATCTTCAGTCTTCGACTGCCAACCGAGATGACAACCGAATCGCATCTACCTGCACTTTTGACAGACGTCAGAGCAAAACCTCCTCTGAATTTCTCAGGACATACTTTTTCTCTCTAAAATTCCACGAATAAAAAATAAAACTTTAGCTTTATTTAAGAGACGATTTGGCAAATTTTATGCAACTTTTGACCAACTGGAAATTGAAGAAAAAAAAATCCTCTGCGCTGAGGTGTTAACATCCACCGACTCTGCATCAAGAGCCCATTCTATCGTCCGATTTTTATTAACATGTGTATTATCTCATGGTTAATAAATTTTCATTCATTAACCTTAATATTTGAAAATAAAAAATAAAACTTTAACTTTATGTAAGAGACGATTTGGCAAATTCTATGCAATTTTTGACCAACTGGAAATTGAAAAAAAAAATCCTTTTGCTCTGAGGTGTTAACATACACCGGTGTACAATGGCTCTGAATCAAGAGCCCACTCTATCGTCTGATTTTTATAAACATGTGTATTATGTCATGATTAATCAATTTTAATTCATTAACCTTAATATTTTAAAATAAAAAATAAAACTTTAACTTTATTTAAGAGACGATTTGGCAAATTTTATGCAATTTTTGACCAACTGGAAATTGAAAAAAAAAAACCTTCTTTTGCGTTGAGGTATTCTGATCGTTGGAGAGGCTGAGAAACGCCAGGCAGTTCCTCACTCGCTGTGTTATAGCAGGAGACCAGGTCATTCTGATGCAAAAAAATATGCGTTGGATGGAAATGGAACTTTTGCAAATGATTTGCTGACAACAAATCGCATGACTTGACCAGAGGTGGGGAACATTTCTCAGAAAACAAACAAAAATAATGCAAATAATAATAATGAAAAAAAGAATTATTTTATCTCTTCGATATATATTTGAAAATATATTGTTTTATTTTTTATTTTTAGTATTAAGGTTAATAAATTATAATTTATTAAGTATTACATCACACATATGTTAATAAAAATCAAAAATCCGTTGAAACGATGAAATGGGCTCGGTGCAGAGCCATTGTACACCGGTGTATGTTAACACCTCAGCGTAAAAAAAAACCTTTTTCTGTACTGAGCTAGTCTTTTCCTCGGCCGGGAATTGGCAATGGGCCTTCCCGAACTCGGAAAAAACTAAATCACTACAGAAAAATTATGTCCCAAGACAGTTGGTATGGGATTTTTATACTCGCGTGGTTGGCCAGTCCTCCTCGTCTTCGGCTCGGACGCCAACGCCACGCGAGTAAAAAACCCCATACCAACAGTCTGGAAAATATCTATTTTTTTCTTTCATCAGAAATTCTTCAATGACCGTGTTTAACCCATTGACGTGAAAAGCGTCCTAAAAGGTCCTGGTAACCCCATGGAGGGGGTAAGGCAGTAACGTGTTAAATTAGGAAAGTGGGGAGAACGAAATTCACGTTAATGAGTTAAATGACCTTGCTGAAACGAATGGTGTATGTTAATACCGCAGCGCAAAAAAAGATTTTTTTTCTTCCGTTGTCAGTTGGTCAAAAATTGCATGAAATTTGCCAAATCGTCTCTTAAATGAAGTTAAACTTTTATTTTTTATTTTCAAATAGTATGGTTAATGAATTAAAATTTATTAACTATTACATAATACAATAAAAATCAAAAATTCGTTGGAACGATAGAATGGGCTCTTGATGCAGAACCATTGTACACCGGTGTATGTTAACACCTCAGCGCAAAAAAAGATTTTTTTTTCTTCAATTTCCAGTTGGTCAAAAGTTGCATAAAACTTGCCAAATCGTCTCTTAAATAAAGTTAAAGTTTTATTTTTTATTTTAAAATATTAATTCCATGACTTTTCCAGGTATTTTCTATATAAAATGAAATTCCATGACTTTTCCAGGTTTCCAGGTTCTATGGCCACCCTGGTGGATCCACAGTAAATTCACAAAATGCGTCACAATATGTTTTGGTGTAATGGGAAATTTTGAAAAATTTACCATGGCGTGTGTGAAGAGACACTTCGATACTTTTTATCTAGAAAGTTCTATACTTTTTATCTACAAGGTTTATAAAAGAGTAAATTACAGCATTTGTGAGTGGAGTCGACAACTGCACGAACTTGTAAAATCATGATTCTTTTTGACATCAGGTATGTACTCCGTGCACCGCTCTTTGAAGCGGATCAATGATGCTGGTGAATTTGCGTTTTCACACGTACAATCTGCACAAATGTACAATATTCATGAATTCTTCTGATTTTAAATCTGGTGAGTTAAACACATCGCTTCATTACCTGTCACTGTCCGTGCACTGTGGCCAAAAAAGCTTTTTGTAAAAATCGACAGTGAGCCTCAGAATTTCAGCTCGTCAGAGTTTTTTCGGTGGAGCAAGACTGCAATCTCGAAGACCTATGTGTAACAGTGTACAACACAATGAACAATAAATAAGATCGTCTGTGGTGAACATGAAAAAAAAAGTGCAGAAAAACTTCTTACATTTTTGGTTTCTTCAACGGAATATCGTGTTGGGTCTTGTTTTTACGCTTTCTTCCCTCACGTACGAGCTTCGCTGTTTTACTGAGATCACAGACAGAAGTTGTAGAGATCGCATGGATTCTTTCTGCTACTGTGAACATTTTATTATCCTAAACCACCCCCAAACAGCCATGTGTCTTGCCCATGGACAGGTAACCGATGGTAAACACAGGATATATTTTGAAGGGTATCAGAGGGCACTGTGAAAAAAAAATCGATCAGAAAATCGATAAAATGCGAAGAATGTGCTGGATGGGCGAGTTCTCAAAGCACAATTTTTTTTTTAATTTTTACTTTCATTGAATGAACAAAAAGAACAAAAGAAGAGAATTGATCAAAGTCCAACGGAATAGAATCAGATCTTTAATACACGTACCTGATTCAGTTTAACCACTGTTTTGGTCGTCAACACCTTCAATGTAAGGAAACCTACTGGCGACAGTTCCAGCAGCAAATGTTGGGGTGCGATATCCTAAACAAAGATTTTTATTGCTGTTATTCGTCATTACCGTTATACATTTGTCAAATATTAAATAACAGGGATAAAAAAAGAAAGAACAAGATGTGAACGTACATCGTTTTGGAGTCGCAAAGAGCATGTCTCAGAGGATCCGATCGTGAATGGTTTTGACCCGAACCGGATCGTTGTGTTGTTGATAGCTAAAACAGCAATCTTGAAAAACAAACCAAAAAAGAAAATTTGTGTGAATTTATTTGTTGTAATGCCCCGGAAAATCAAAGACCATTTCTAGAAATTTTTTTTTTCGAAAAACATCCAATTTTGAATTTCGTGCCAGAATATTTGCATTTTGTCGCGAAAGACTAGCAATTTCAAATGTTACACCAAAAATTTTGAATTTTGAATTTTACACAAAAAAATTTTACTTTTGAATTTTGTGGCGAAAAAATTTAGAACTCAAATGGCACATTGAAAATTATAATTATACATTTTACTTCAGAAATTTTGCAATTTGCGCAGAAAAAAAATTAAATTTCAAATTTTGCGTGACAAATCCAAAATTTAAATTTCACATTTGATTTGTAATATCACAATGTACATTGACTCAAAATATGTAAACAAAAATAGAAATAAAAATTGTCAAATTCCAATTTTCAATAATGACGATTACAATTGGTCTACTACGTGCACAATTTTTATTTTTCAGTGCAAAATTGAAAATTTTTGACAAAATTTTAGTTTTCTATTGTGAAATTTTTTCCATTAACCTTAATATTTGAAAATAAAAACTAAAACTTTAACTTCATTTAAGAGACGATTTGGCAAATTTTATGCAATTTTTGACCAACTGGAAATTGAAGAAAAAAATCTTTTTTTTGCGCTGAGGTGTTAACGTAGACCGGTGTACAATATTGTGAAATTTCTAATGAGTTTTCTATTGTGAAATTGAAAATTACATTTTTCACTGTTACTTAATTGTTGTAATTGTTGTGGATGATGCTTGCCAATCAATTGTTTTCCACAGGGAGGTAACATAAATTACATGAAGTAATTTTTCGCGTCTCGGCGCCTAAAAATCGTACGCTGACCTCACTTCGTTCGGTCAGGAACACGATTTTTAGACGCCTCGAACGCGAAAAATATCTCACGTGGCTAGTACCTAAAAAGAAACTCCCTGACGAAATGAATTTTCGTCAATGAGTTTTTTTTTAGGCGCCAGACGCGTAATATATTACACCGACCTGACCCTGGCCAAAGCCAATTCTGTGACAGAAACAGAAATGAATTGAGAACCAACCTCACTCTGGGTACAGGGTAACACAACAACGTTCAAAGGTGACACTTCACAATGCGAAATTTGGAAATCTAATTCGAAAAATGTTAAAAAATGAGTAATTACCATTCTGATTTTGAAAATTTTGGCAACATCAATTGAAAATAATTTTCTCTCTGAGCCTCTTCTTCTTCTTTTTCTGACTTCATGGTTGTGTCGAAGTATTCATGACATCCTGACTGGACCGGTGGCGCTCCAGTCAGAAAGTGGCGCCGCTGTCGCGTATACCGCTAGTTATGACGTAGGGTCCCTATGACCGCCATTATATCACTAAATTAAGCCGCTGCAATTTAAATTCTTTATTTAAATATATTTTATTATTTTGTTTAATTACGTCAGTTGAAACATTCTCACGGTTGGAAAGAAGAGAAGCAACAGACTTTTAGAAAGTAAACGCAGAAACTCGTAAACAGGAAAATGATTATAAATCTTCAGTCCTCTTGACATTGCTCTGGCCACCCGAAAATAAAGGCTCTTTGTATTGTTTTTTCTTACAGAGTTTTCGCGTACAATTCAAACTACACATTGAACCATTTGAATCATAAAACCTTTTCCTGGAGACAGTTTATTTTCCTCAAGTGAAATTCATGTATTTTCTGTCTCTCTCTAAAAACCACATGTGAGGCCCTTTGTTTGTCACGTAGACTAGAGAGTTGAGGCTGGGCCCAGCGCGTGCGATTGTGGGGGTGTGAGACCAACCCCATCCAATGAGTTTTGGGTCATGATTGGTCCCCTACTCCTTCCACTGGAGAGTGGCCTTGAACTTGCAAGACTCAGACTAATTTTGAGAGAGTAATTTTAAGATCAGATCCACCCCATACGTGGATAAGAGAAGTTCGAGTGAAAATTGTTATCGTCTTCTCAACTTTAAAGAGTTCAAAGTGTTGTTATAAAACATCTCCTGAGTTTACTAAATCATTAAAAACATTTCAATTGGATTATCGCATAAATTGGTGTTCGTGTACATTTATTTTACTAAAAATTTCCGCACTTGTGGAGCAGTGTTGCGTACAATTCTCGTCCCCCCAGATTTTAATTCCTTTTGGGTTCGTTTGCCCGTGGAGCGCTGAAGCGCTCTGCTTTATAAGCGCGGGATATTCGAAATAAAGTTTAACACGAACAGAGATTTAAATCACACAAATAATTCTTTGTATTTAATTAAGTCTTCAGTAATCCAAACTCGAGTTCACATTATTTCCACAATCAAATTATTCGTCGATCTTCACAATATTGTCTCTTCTTAAATTTCAATTTCACAATTAGTCAGATCTGTACTTCTCAACACTTGGGATAGGAGTAATTACAATTTCAGTTTTCTCTTCTAACTCTCCTCTCGTTCAAGCATCCATGAGGTGTCACCAATTTGAGGGGTAGAGGAGGTTCAACGAATCATTTTGCAATAAGTTCGAAAATGCATCTTGAGGGCGGTGGTCAACCAAAGGGGAGTGAGAGAGGGGAGAGGGGGAGAGACTCAAGCGTCACGATGGGAAATTCCAACTTCAGGTAAAGAGGCCCCGCGCCTCGCTTCAACCCTCGACACATGGATGGGATTAAATCATAAACCAAAGGGAAGCAAAAACTCCAAAATACTCTGGCGGAGATAAATCAATTGAAGACTGGCACAACATGAATAGATTTTATAACTCTCAAAAACCCCAGCGAAATAAATAAAACCTTCAAGGGTTGAGAATGGCTCGAAATCGTAAAGGAGGATTAAAGAATATTCCCGAAATTCCGAAGAGATTTATAATACTCAAAAATCGGGGAAAGGTGACAATTAAATCGGGGAAAACAACATGTGGCTAGAAGCTGTAGCTGCGGGGGAAATACCCTCATGGAATACCTCACGAACACATTGAACCCTTTGATAATTGGGGAAATTATAAAATACATGGTTCTTCTTTAATTGAATATTTAAATGCTCAATCAATCTCTCCAAATAATTATTCTATATTCTAATTTCCACTAAAATCTAGGGAACATGGCGACTCATCTAGCGACCCTAATTGTAACTAGCTGTCTACGCAACAGCAGAGTGGTTTTGCACTCCACGGGCAACGGACCCGCCATCTAGAAAGCAGAGAACCAGCTGGGAACGTAACACCGCAAATTGGAAGAAGCAATACCCCACTCTACATGCGCGGTAATTTGGAATTATCCGTCAGGAAAAATTGGAATGCTTGATAAAATCTATTTTTTCTGAAAATTCATTGCAAAATACACAAATAAATAAACATTTGAAACATTGCAATTTTTTTAAAAATATTTTTTTAATTTTTATGATGACAATAACACGTTGAGAGTACGTTATAATTGTTTTAAATTTGCGATCAGGGCCAGAAGGACGAAGACCCCGACGAGGCTAACGTAAGGCTCTCACCTTCAGTTGACAAGTCTACGGTTTCAGACAAGTCCGCAGATTCAGAGGATTAAGTAAGTTGAATAATGAGTATCATGATGTAATCTCTGTTTTATGCATTGGTGCATACTGACACCAGTTAGTGGATTATAATAAGGAAAATGTACACGCTAGTGTATGTTGACACCTAGGCTACAGTGATACATTTTCATCATAGATTTTTTATATGAGTTCACAGTAAATGCCAGTACATCAATATTAGCATTTCTTCAATGTCATTTTTCATTATCAATCACGCAGAAATTTCTCATATGTCTTTTTTTTTCAGGCTGTTCTGACCAATTCGGCACACAAGACTTCTCCGGAAGAATCTCCTGTTGACTCATGCACTGAATTCATTATAATTATAAATTAATTTTTCCAATAACACATTCATGTACACCAGTGTAGATTAACACTTTACCGCCGGTTTTTTTTTGACACAGATAATGGAAGTGGAGTTGGTTAACTATTTACTTATTTACTTATTTATTTATTTAATCATTTATTTATTCATTTATTTATTTATTTATTTATTTATTTATTTATTTGGCAAATTGTATAATACCGAAGTGCCGTAATGTTTACAAAATATTTACATCTTTATGCTCTCTTTGGTAGAAAGTAGAAAGTAAGTAAGGATAAATTTTTGATACTAGCTTTAAATTATAAATGTGCAAAGTACTGTTGAGTATGAACTTATAATTGCTTTATGTAAAATAGTATTTCAACAACAATTGCTGTCTGATGCTGCATCACAGAATTAATATAAAACTCGTCTTGTCGTCTCATAGCCTAATAGCCAAATAGTCCGCTAAGTCTGAGGCAGAAGATCGTCTCGCCTCTCTTTCCTCCTGCTGTCGAAGAAACTGATACATTTGTGGGCGAAAAACTGATGGATCATCAATAGTCGTTAGCCACTGTGGTGCCGAATTCCAGTAGGTTGCCACTGACACAGTAAATGAGCGTCAATAAGCTGCCGTCTGCCAGTTTTGAACAGTCAGCGTATCAGTCCTGTCATTAGCACTGCGTAGCCTTCTAGGTGGTGTGTAATCCAACATCTGACCGTGGAGGCCCACGTAGCCATAGTAAATAGCGTCATGGAACCAACAAGTTGCTAGGTACCAGCGCCGGTTGCTTAGTTTTAGCCAACCGCATTCCCTTCTTTGTGGACTAATGTGATCGAAGCGTGAGTTGAATTTTAGCCATTGGTTGGGTGCCGGAGTGGGGGCAGGGGGGAGTCTTTCCCCAACTGGACTCGAATCAGTTGAATTTTAGCCATAGGATGGGTGGCTGAGTGGGGGGAAGGGGGAGTAAGCCCTTGGGAGCAACTGATTACATATATCAACTCGAAATGTCGATTCTTTAATCAGTTTGTTGACTGTTGACCGACCTTTAGAGGACAATCTCAATAAATTGTTGACCATCCATGATGTATTTCGAAGTATTAATTCGCACTGATGTCAACGAAATAAGCAAAACAAAACACAGAGAGACAGGTGTTAATATACACTGATATATAATATAACTACAAACCATTTAAGTCGTATGAAGCTTTTTTTTCTACATTCGCATCTTTCTTTAAACCACCTGACAAATCATGATTAGTATTCAGCTTTGTAGTCAGTTATTGTAATTCAATCACATCTTGATCGGCCATGATCGGTGAAATGGTTTTAAAAACGATGAACATTTGCAAATAATCGAAAAAATTATTATAATTCGTAGTTACACTATGGATCAGCGTCTATTAACACATAGTGTAAATTTTTGTACACTTTCTTTACATAAGTATCAATTAATGCCTAGAAAAACATCATGGCCAACTATGAGTCAATTGAGATAGTTTTCCGTGTGTTGTCCATCGGCCATGATCAGTGAAATGGTTTTGAAAACGATAAAAATGATACAATGAAAAGCTGATACGTTTTCCAATATGCGCACAAAATATTGTACCCCACCGTATAATAACACCTAGGTCGCTATCAATTCCCAAACGCTAGAAGATGTCCACATCGACACTAATCGCTGAATTCTCTGGGAGAAATGGTTTGCCATTTAACATGAAATGCATTCGCGTTATTAGCCATAGATTATTCCAATTCGACAAGATCATCCAGAAAAATCAACGTATGTGGCAGTCAGATTGCTGCCCATTAGATATTTTTTCTGTACACCGACTGGATCATATCGTTCGGAGGTTTCATTTTTTGAAATTTTTCAACTGTTTCAATTGTTCAACAAGATTCCTAGATTTGTGCAGGCTGGACCCATTTTCAGTCTTTGAATGCCAACCACGGTGACAATCGAATCGCATCTACCTGTATTATTAACAGATGTCAGGGAAAAACCTCATCTGCGTTTTGCGGGGCAGAATTTTGTCTTCTAAACTTCTACTTCGATTTACGAGTGGAACGAGAATTCACTCAGAATTTTTGGTATCGCTCACTTTTCATTTTCAACCGCTGTCGCCTGTCTTTTTAATCTTGGTGTCGAACGAACTCCAT